GTCGGCTATCTACGGGCTATCGGATGCCTCGTCCTCATCAATGCTCAGAAGAACTGTAAGTGTTTCGATCATTTGCAAGACCGTCTATTTCTTACATACACGTTAACAGCCGACACTTCTCTCATTATTTAAGTAACTTGAAGCATTTGTCACGTGACTGGGCCGACGAAGTACTCTGGCTCCCGTAAGATTTGGAACTCTACCTATTTGGAGTGTTGCTGTCGTAGGTGCTCCGTAGTTTAGCTGGGTGAAGATTGAGTGAGCTAGGTGACTGAAGAGGTCTTCAAAATTAAAGAATGATGCAATGCATTTGTAGGTATACGTTGATGAGCTCTTGTTGGAACGAGAATCCTTTGATGAGACCTTCGTTTAATGACATCGTAAATCAGCTGGAATACTTCTCAAGAGAAGTAAAGGTGAGTGAAATTGGATTTAAGCTATTCCCTACTGCTTCCTTCCTCCTTCCACTTTTTTCCTTTTCAATTAATTACACTTGAGTAGATTACACAGAAACATTTTCAAATCCTTCAGTTTTCAAATGCCGAAGAGACTTGCATTTAAGGAGGAGTCATATCAATCCAAGGAAATGGCAGCAAAAATCGAAACTCTCTTCGTAGTAAGTAGCTTATTAAAGTTAAAATTACATCCAAAGGAAAAATAAGACAAAAAAAATTGTTATTAGAACAATGAAATGTAAGTTGAAAAAATGGGGAAAATACAGGTTTGAAGGTCGTGTGTAATAAGTTAAATTGGTCTTTCATGTGTTCTTTTCATAATCTTTTCTCATCCGCTCGCTTGTTCCTTTTGTCATTTTTATCCATTACCACTATTATCATTACTGAGCTTCCTACGTGTATCCAACCTGTTATTTTTCTTCGCTTCGATTCTTCTGTTCCAGAGGACATATATCATCATCATGGAGGATGAAATCACTAGCAGAGTTGATTTGAAGTAGAAGTAAAATGAGTGGGCAGAAAATCTAGCACCTAGCGCCATGTTGTGCTGTATTTCAAAATTGAGTAGTCTTGAATTTAACGACCTGTTCATCTTGTTACCAATTAACTAGGTGAAAAAGAAAGTTATAGAAATCTTAGTTGTTGTTATGCTGGTGGGCTAAAGGCACTCAGTCCCTTTTTTTTCCTTGAAAATTTTCATGAAAGTCGCTCCTGTGTTGGTAAATTAGTCAACTCCGCTTAATTGATGGGAGGACGTAAATGTGAAATGCTTTCATTCCTTAGCCGGAAATGGGTACAATTGTCTGCATTTAAAAGTTCGTTGTGAATTGCACCATGTTTATTTAAAGAGGATTACGAAGACTGGAAAACGGACTTGCTGTCCCTGAATCCTTCCTGGCTAAAACGACCGGCCAATCGTCGTCGCAAAATTGGAAGACAACGAGATTATTCGTTTGAAAGAACTGTGCACTCACATGGACGTAATAGTTGAGAAACTAAGACGAAGACCACTGTTTTTGTATAATAAGCCTTTAAGTAAGCAATTAAAGGAAGATGAACCACGGTTGATCTCAATGTACTGGTACTCTTACAGAGATATCACTGAAACAGAGTAGGGGCGCTTATTTGAATGAGGGCTTTAGTCTACCTCTTGATTATGTGAGTGAATCTGTCCCCAGATAACCCATGCGACACACAGGGCTCGGCTGACAGATCTTGGTACTCTGACGCGAGAAAAACATTTTTGTTTTTACGACTAACAGCTCCGCTACGTTCTAGAGTCCCGTCCTTGTGTTTCACAAATGTTTAGAAATTCTAAAAACAAAGAAACAGATGAATGATATGGAAGTCGAAGCAGAAAGTAAATATAGCTTGTTTAACTTATCAACCTCCGCCGAAAAAGAAACTACAAGGCAAAAATTATCGATCAAATACACTTTATGCAAATGTTTCGCGAAATTTTTACCAGTCGGCAAAACTGTTCTGTGTACATTCCCTATGGCGCTGACTGGGAGAAAATCGTTTATGGTTGAGAGCTCGTTAAGTTGTTGATCATTTCTTTTATTCTCCTGACCTTAATGTTTAATCCAGGGGTGGTGCTGTGAAGAGAAATTAGATGCTAGTAACTCTCAGGGTTTAAAGGGTTAAATCATATGAACCCTTTAACTCCCGAAGATCTCATTAGTAATCCTCCTTACTGTCTGCTATACAAATCGTCTAATGTTACTTCTGAGAATTTGGTATTGGATCAACTAATAACTCCTAATTGATACCTTTTTTGGTTCTCATAACTAGTCTTCTTGATTTTGTGATGATATTGTAAGGAGAAATTCTGTCTTGGTCACTCACGGAAGTTAAAGGGTTAAACTAGAGAACTTCAAAGATGGCTTCTTGAAAAGTACAGTTAAAATAATAAAAAGCCTACTGCTTTTGAAAATTTACATAAAATGGTTTCTGAATCTTTAGCATTGCCAAATAGAGCTGACTGTGAATTGCTTCAAGCATGCAGTTACATCTAGGCTTGCAGACAAAGACCGACGCGCTCATATGAATAACATCGCCAAAAATCAAGGACATTTCGAGCCCGCTAACAATTATCAGCGGTATATCGTATTACACTCCGGAACAGTAGAATAGCTTAGAATAGCAAGAAAAGTCAATATGGCGGCAATCACGGCTCGATCTGCAAAGAAGCGTGTTTCGTACCATGACTTACACAATTTGAGCACCACAGATCTTCTATTTGATAAAAAGAAAACGAAAAGAAGACCCGCCAGTAAATCTTTGGGATTTTTCGGGGGCAAAGCGATGACTTGATGTCAGAATTTTGATTTGCCTTTATTAAATTTTCGCGCCAAGACTACTTAATTTGCATTTAACGCCTGGTATATTTTTATTCCGAAAAGGACCTGAGAACTAATTTATTTCCCAGCAAGAACATAAACAAATATGGCCGACGATTCGAAGATCAATGTTGCTCGTGTTTAACCATTTCTGTCATAGTTTTCAACATGACGTCTCGTTACTTACTCAATATGGAAAATATGGGATATTCTGGCGCGTTGGGAAGTTTTTTGATGGGAGGAAATGGCAATTTTACAGGATATTTGGAAGCTTCGAACTCAGTAGCAGTCAATTCAATCGAGAGCAGTTGACTTCATTGATGCACTTTCCTGTAATAGGCAAGTGTTTGGGATGGAGAACGACGGATTTTGAAGAACTGTAAGGCGACTTAGGTCAATGAACAATGACAAAAGAACTGGCTCGGGAGTAAGTGGTTTTTATTTATCGAGTCACTTTGAGGTTTGATGAATAGCAGAATCAGTACTGAATATGTCTCGATCGAGAGCAGACGGGACCATGAGCTCCTGATTGTTATATTTTAGAAATTTTACAAATTTCCATACAGTTTCTTATATTATTTGGACGCCATTATGGACGAAATGCGCCAGCATGGCCGCCATCTTGTCCAATATTTCTGCCAATGCATATGTGAATAGATGTGTATTAATTTTCATTTCAATTTATTATTTATTGTTATTTACTCTTCTCTCTTTGAAGCAAATTAATCAGGATAAGGGAAGTCGTGAACGAAAAGAATATGCGTCTGAAGCTAGTCTCGCAAATTAGCGGTGTAGCTGTGATATTCATTTATCGTGGCACACAGGTGATTGTCTATCCCGTTGGCTGCTGTGAAATACATTTTGTCTGAATCCGGCTCAGATTTTTCTTTTAAAGACTAAATGACCCACCGGATATTGCGTTAGGCAGAACGAAGGCCAAAGAGAGACTATGGCCTTCAATTACTCACGAGACCAGTAATTTTTAAAAAAACTATTTTTTTAGCAGCTAACAAGACCAAAATTCTTACCTGTTTATGTACTAATTGCTTAGAATCACCGAGATGTGTTTAATTTTATCTTTTATAAGCAACAGAGCTTTCAACAAGATTTTAGGTAGGTGGCTACCTCGGTAAAGCATCCGCCGTAGTCAGTAATTTGTAACAAAGAGTGCTCATATTTACTTCATGCATATTAAGGGTAAAATACAAATCTCAATTTCTAGTCGTTACAACGACTACAGCAAGTCTTTCAGCTGAATCAATCCATTTTGATAAGCTGAAAATTACCTCTCTCTGCAGAGCGACTTGCCTGGGGTAATGTTTTAACTGAAGTACTTACCTTACCAAAAGCAGTGATGGAAATTTGAATGATAACAGTTAACAACAGTTTATCGTTTTCCTCATGCAGTCATCCATATGATCTACGTGGTTCTAAGTTTGTGTTTCTTTAAGATGTGAAATACGAGAGACCATCAGTTAGTTTTTGAATTATCACTAACTGTTCTTTACTTTTTATAATGCAAAAACTTTCTGTTTTGTTTAAATTAAATTAAACTGAATCAAATTTTATTCTACAAGCAGGTTCTTTAACAGGTTCTTTCAAAAAACGTTTATTTTCTAATCTTTACAAGAATTGATAGGAGACATCGATCGACCCAATGAATGTCTTATTTTAGTTAAATCGGATAAATCTATATGAACTGAAAACGGACCTTTTCTGTTAGCAAGAGCGCCCTAATCTTAACATTTCATGAATTTTTATTCGATTGTTTATCGACTATAGCTGGCTCTAGGGTTTTAAATGCTCAGACTAGCGTATAAATTTCCAAATTGTCGAGATTCAGCCAAACGTATACCAGGACAACGAATCATTCCAAAATGCACTTTAAAAAAATGAAAAAAGCACTCCGTGATTTCGATGAATAATCGTAAGTTGTATTCACCTCACGGTCAATTGGATAAACTAACATGATTCAAATATATACTACGCGCACTCAAAATTCTGGCACATACCATGATAAATTACCTGAACTGATCATGGCTCTGTTTTGTTTCTCTCTTCCGATACCAAGGGAGGATATTCGTCAGTTATCCAAAAGAAATCGATGCGGGGATATGTTTACAACAATGGTTATCTTAATGGCTATCAGCAATGAATCGTAATCGGAAAGTAAAGCACCTTTCTTGTAAGTTAACATGCATACATGGCGGTAAATAAGCTGCGTCATTCACTTACTTATTCTCAGGAATACGAAAAACCTTCAAAAGGTAATTTAGTCAGATTTCACGGGGTGAGGTGAACAAAACTTTTCAAACCGTTAGTATTTCTACCAATTGTCAACACTAACCGACATCACAGTGAACCTCAAAAAACTGAATTATCATATTAGGAAAGAGAGAACAAGATCATACAGAAGTTTTTCCAAAGATGCCTCCATTTTTTTCAAGTAGAAGACGATTTTTCCGTCGGTGGCTTGATTTCAACTGATGACGTTGACAGTGGACTCAAGAGAGCAGTATAACGCGAAAAAACTATCGCAATAATTTCAATGACGCACACGCTTTGTTGTTCTAAAATGGGTTACTTCTGCATTCTAACCAGTCAGTGACAACCTCAAGTTATCGACATTTAAACTAGAGCCAACATTCAATAAGTATGATGACTCTTGTTTTCTCAGATTTTTATCGCAGTTTTCTGTTCTTGACCCTTATATCGTGGCGTGTCAAACGTCTGCTAAGCCAGGTAACAGCGCTGGCACGCCAGTCGGTTCTTCACCCACAAACCGATGTAAAAATGTCTACTTCAGCCTCCATGCAGGAACACCAAACAAGAAGATTGGAACACTTCTTCAGGAAATGAAGATACAGCTTATGCACGTTAAAAATGATGTCAGCATTATCAAAGCGAGAAACAACACTTCATGTAAAGGTATTTTCACAATAGATTATCATTTTTTCCTTTCCATTTGTTTGGAATTGTTACTCAGATAAGGGAAATCCTATGGATTTTAATCTTGTCTATCCTGTCCCGATTAACCTCTTCTCATTTCTGAAGAATCTACAGAAACTCTCCTTAGAGAAATAAAAGAAACACTTCTCGAAATGCAAAACGACATTGCTTCTATCAAAGAAAACAAGATGCTCAGTGAATCTCGACACACCTGTACTGAAGGTAAGAGACAAATGGAGAAGCTTGTCATGTTATCAACAAAGTCTTACGATTCTCGCGCAAATCCATTTATGTCTTCCAACAGTTAAGAAGAACTGTGCTGAGCTGTACAAATCTGGTAAAACAAGTAGCGGTGTTTATACGATTGACCTTGATGGTCACGGTGCCTTTAGTGTCTTCTGTGACCAAACGGCAGCCGGTGGGGGGTGGACAGTGTTTCAGAAGAGACTGGATGGCTCGGTTGACTTCTATCGCGGCTGGACCGATTACAAAAATGGCTTTGGTAATCTGCATGGTGAATTTTGGCTGGGACTGGACAAGATACACCGTCTTACAACAACTATAAAGAACAAGCTCCGTGTACATCTGATGGACACCAAAAGTAAAACTGCTTACGCCGAATACAACATGCTTGCTGTTGCCAGTGAGAATAAATACAAGCTGAGCCTTGGAACTTACTCAGGTAACCTCGGTGGTAATAAAGAAATCTATTTTTATGAGAACTTGCAGTATTCACTGACTGAACTTGAAACAGCGCTTTTAACTTGCTTCGATAAACCAATTGAACTCTATGGAATCATTTAAATATTCGCTAACAGATATATAAATCAGAAAATTATAGCTCGTTGCATTAACTTAGAACATTTATTTTAGTCTGAAAAGTGAATCGATGCTATTTTAATAAAAATAGCTTCAAAAAGTTGTTTTTATCTGTTTCGTGAACACCAGATTAATCGATAGGCTTCTTTTGTAGCTTTGCAAATTAATTGCATAGCACCATGGGAAAAATTCCCTCTACTTCGAAAACTTTACTTTTTCCAGGAAATGCGGGCGATTCTCTTTCTCGTCATCGTGGGCAGCCCTTTGCAACCAAGGACAAGGACAGATATCGCTGTGCTGTGACCTACAAGGGAGCCTGGTGGTAAGAGAGCTGCCATTCCTCTAAACTGAATGGACTATACCATCACGGAGCGCACTCATCTTATGCCGACGGAGTCAACTGGTATAACTGGAAAGGATATCACTACTCCGTCAAGAAAGCTGAAATGAAAATCAGACCGGTGCAAGTTTGAAATTTTTGTTTTGTTTATTTCCAAAAGTTGAAGAATAACGTGTAGAGGAAAACACACGTGACAAAGATTAAAAAGGGCATTTTTTAGCTTGGTTTTAAGACTTTTCAAATGACTTTTGACATTGGGACTGAAATCTGACAGAGCTCTCTCTTTTCGAATGTCTAGAAGGAAAGTTTACATTCCTTCCTTCTTGAGTTTGAAACAAAATAGACGTGGTTGACAAGAATGCTTTTATTCTATGTTAAATATCTGTAAAAGTGGGTCAGGATTAAAGAATAAATTATCTGACCACGGCACTGGGTTCATATCACTGAACTAAGTCTAATAACAACACCGACTGCTGCTGCCAAGGCAGCTCATTGTGTACATAATTCTAAGTCATACCCGACTACATTTGAAAATAACCAGCCAGATCTAAGTCAATTACTGTGCTTTCCGCGTATGCTACAACCCGAATGGTGAATACCTTTACACTTTCTAACTAAACTACCTTGGGCGCACTTACGAGTCTATCTGTTCACTCGAACCATCACTCTGTATGTACGCGATTCAAGACGCAAAAATGAGAACCGAAGGAATTAAAATCTTGAACATGATAGCATTAAGCGCAAGAGAACAGCACAATAGTACCAGCACTTGTCGGACTTCTCCTTTTCTGTTGCTACAGATTCTTTTCTATAATTACTGAGAGGATATGTTGTGACATTAAATAAACCCCCCCCCTCCCCCTCCGGCAGATGCGTTTAACTATTCTCAATTCCTGTTAGAAGGACAACGGATCGAAATTGTAAGGGGAAGTTTCATGTTCATCAGTTCTGAATTAAAGGGGTTAGGGGGTTAAGTAAAAGACGATAAATGCAGGTGCTAGGATGTATTGGTTGCGCTTCAACAGACAACTTCGATGTCGCCTGGTTTTAACGGTATATCATTATCTGATACGATAGAAGAATTACTGATAGAGGGTGACGCAGTCGAAGTTCTCCATTCTTCTCTCTTAACTCAATTCAAACACAAAACAAAATCTTACTCGTCCAGTTATATCTGTTTTGCAGTTATGTTGGTCCTGCAGTGACAACAAGCCTACAACACCCACCACAAATGGCTCTACGTAACTACTATTTAATCGTGATCTACTCGCCTGATCCCTGGACGGGCTACTTTTTTAATCCAATCGAGACTTAAATGCAGCGTTAGGTCACTTCTGTAGGACGACGCAAAAGAAATCATGAAATTATTTCCCTAAGGCATCAAGTTTCAAAAGCTGAGAGGAAGAGGTACTGCTAGCCAACTGAGCTAACATCAAATCGTGACTGCTGTAGCAGGTTCACACAACATTGAAGAGAAAAAAAAAAAAGAAAACAGAACTGACAAAGAACAAGTACTTTAAAAATCCAGGCTCTTTAAAGCAGATCTCTTTTCACGTCTTTAAGTTAGGGGTTGGGGAAGAGGTTTTTAAATAACAAGAAGAAAAATTATTTAGGAAGGCAAGTCACGGTTTGAACATTGTAAAAAGTTAACTTTAAATAAGCCATCTGTGGTTCGCTATTCCTAACCATCCTCTTTCCTTTTCAACATTTTTTACTCCTCTGATTTTTGTCATCTACAATGAACAATCATTTTACATTTCATTCGTTTAAAGGCAAGTTTCTACGACGTTAGAAGCGATTAAAAGTATCGGGACGAACCTTCCCTAAGAATTTTTAATTTGTCATTTAATTCTACACACCAATTGAAGCCTTCATATGGCAGGAAAGACATGAGCCAGATTTTACAGTTAAGTGATTCTTGAAGCTAATACAAGATAAGGGTGTGGTTATAATAATATAAGAAAAGTGAACAGCATCGTCTGCGGCAAATCTGAGTGATTTCATTCCCTGCGATTATTGCCTCAACGATCTGTCTAAGTGAATGTCGTATGTACAAAATAACTGTTGATAAGAAAAGGAAGACAATAGACGTCTCAATCAGAAGAGAGAATTGCAACAAGTTAGATAAGGAAAGCATCTCTACGAACAAAAATCGCATTTACAGTCCAACCGGGGTGATTCTCTAAGGCCAAAGCAAGCCAGATGTGACCCACTAATTGCAATAAGTCCTTCGCTTTACGTAACACGAGCCACGCAACCCTATGCCACGTCTTTCTCTTTTTCAACGCCATTCCTTGACTACAATACACTAGTTTACCTATAAAATCCGTTTAACTATAATCAACTGTACAGAACTGGACAGGCTTATGACGCGGCATTATGCTCGCTCTCTTTGTCTTCGTCGTTCTTTTCTTGCACGTTCTTGTCCTTGTCCCATTTCACAGAGTATTTATTGTGTTTGATGGCTGTATCCGTGATAGTCTCGCAAGTTGTTGTGCAGGGATGAAGCCCATCCACTCGTCCCAGCAGCCAGTCATGACACCCGCTTTCCTGGTCGCTGGACACGTGATTCTTAACCCACTCGCTTAACCACGACTGAAATCTGGAGTGAAGACGGTTTGCCACCAAAGAATGACTCTGGAAAACAAACAAGCAAAATCAAGTACATTCTTAAGCTTCAATCATATTCTTTCTTTCTCTTTCAAGCTTAAATTGAAGTATGCGTTTTATTGGGGGAAAACAAGTAAGGAAAAACCGAGGTAAAAACGATTGAATATTTGAATTGAACAAATAATCAAAACTGCTAGAGGCAACAACTATGAATTCGAGTCCTGGCAACCACTTCAGTCATACTGATAGTCCCTATTTCAATTCTCTTTGATTTTTGTGTTTCTTTGATCGATTTTTACGTTTCTGGCAGGTTGTGAAAAAGAATGAGAACAACATTAGAAGCCAATGACTTCAAACAACGAGCCGGCCCCACCATTTTTTTTTTCCTTTTATCACAAGACGCTTGCACATTCTTAGAAGTCTGGATTTTCTATGGATTTAAAAACTCTACAAGACTTACATCAGAAACAAAGATTCCGACTGGTTGACATTCATTACTCTTCTACCTCCATTTCCTCTTCAAGGTTGCAACATTACTGTTTGACATTCAAGGCGGTCGCTCGCAAAACTGTAATAAGAGTGCACCGTGCTTTCACTTACCTCTTTTGCTCGCTTTAGAGACTGTCGCCTGTACAGGTAATCCTCACTGCCTTTGACAAATCGAATCTTGTATGAGTTCAAGCTAAGTTTGCATTCCATAGAGTTCTCGACTTCCATTTCCTCTCCTTCATCATTTTCTTCCTCTTTATCGCTATAGAAAACAAACATTGTCAGAAAAAAAGTTGTAACTATAAAACCAGAAGCATGGAGCTGACATCTGTCTATAAGGTCCAAGTCTTTCCCGATCAAAAATTATAAAGGAAAAAAATAAAAAATTTTAGAAAAAAGCCAAAAAACCTTGGTGGCTTAGGGATGGTTGGTGCTCGTTTACCCAAGACCCAGCCCTCCAGGCTTACGAATTCGCCGATGGATTTAAGTTCCGCAAGTTCCCAGGATCCCAAACACAGACAGAAGGCAAAGACAAATTTCCACGAATGCTGGACTTACTTCTTTTATCTGCCACTTCAATTAAATGGTAATTGAATCTTTGTTGTTTGTTTAGCCGATAAATTTTCTCATACTAACCTGTTGTTTCCCTCACTTTCAGCATCATCAGTTGACGATCCATTATCATTTGTCGTCGATTCTTTCTCGGTGCTTGGGGTGGTCGACGGTTTCATCCGCGAGTTGGAACGAACCGTTCTGGAGAGAAAAAAAAACCCGCACCCTTTTGAACCACCCATTCAATCTTGCTCGATTATTGTGTATTATTACTGTCACCGTACAGGTATTACGCACGAAAAGGGTCCTTCCACGATCTCTCACACCGTACCTTTAGCGAATACTTGGTGAAATTGCTCAAGCTGTCCATTAGGTGACGATCGATGTTTCAGGCTTTAAAGCGTATTATTATCAATATACGCGGCCAAATAGAAAATCGGCCTCTTCAAAACACACGCTCAGCGGGCCGCAAAAGACTGACAGCGGGCTGCTAATGCATTATCAGCCCTACAGCTGATTGGTTCTTGCTTCATCATCCGACGGAGTTTTAATCCGTTAACTTTGTGATGATTCTGTTACCAGCATGGACATTTTTTTAAGGTTAACTTTGTGATATGCTTATTATTTATAGACGATTTTAAGCATTTTTTCGGTAATTTTCAATAAGTTCACTGGACTGAGTTGATTCTTTAATGGCTTGTTCAATCAACACTTACATGATGATTTGAAGTGACTTTGAATTCGTCATTCACTTAGCTTGTATTATTAAAACTCGCATTCTTGATATCATTTGGCCTTGTTTATTGATAATAATGATAATGACATGACTTTTTGAGGGAATATTGTTTATTTGCGCCCGCGTAGTGTCATTTGCGGCCCTCGCGCGACACTACGCGGGCGCAAATAAACAATATTCCCTCAAAAAGTCATGTTATTCCCTTATTAGCGGCATAAACAAGGAGATACCGCCCTCTACAACGGCTTGCCAGAAATCAGACTCTGGAAACACTTGGAGTTTCTTGTGTCTACCTGAGAGAGAGACCTAATAGACACTTCTTAAACAAGACTTAAAGCATTCTAACCTTGGTAAAAATATGGGTTTGTTCTGTAAATGATCCTTGACCTCTGTGGAAACTTCCTCGCTGCCGACAAACTTTTCGACGTATTCATTCCATTTCTAATGGACAGAAAAAGACAAATTCAAGTTAGCTACGCTAAATTAACGCACAAGGACCTGTCACCTTTGAAAAGAAATTCTCCAAAAACCCCCCAATAGAGCTGTATCTTCGTGTATCTTCAACATATCGATCGCTGGCCAACCTGTCAACTTAACTGATGTCGAGACCTTCTTTCCTGCAAGGCTGATAACTCTTCACGAATTTTTATAGGGGTCTGATCTCAAAACCTTTTCGGGGGATGATCTCAGATTTTTACATACAACACTGACCTTTCCGCATGCCTTGCTACACATTTCTTTCAATGACAGCCCTTAGGACCAACTGTCGGGTTTTATGTTGGATAAATAAAATCACCTTCACCTGCTCAAAATGCAGTACAATTCTTGTTATTGGACATACCTCTACTTCGACTGGATCTTCTGAATGAGAGTCCTCTGTATCAAGCAACTCAATACTCAGTCTGCAGATGTTCTTGTCTTTGTGCTGTTAACATTAAAATAAAAAAATAATGATAAAAAATTAAATAAAAAAATAATGATAACACAAAAAGTGCAAACATCTAACAGTAAAACAACCATGAAAAGGAGGCCGATCCGAAAAACAACAGTGATACACTTACAATGACAACTTTGTAACAGTTCTCATCCGAAAGCAGTGACTCAGATCTTTTTTGATATGCAGCTTCTGACACTGCGCGGGTATGCTGAGTGGCCGAGCTTCCACCGGTGGCCAGGTTACCTTGCTCCTGCTGGTATAGTTCAGTGACCTGGTTGCACGAATCGTCTGTAACAATGGTGTGTAGCTGAAAAAAAAAGGGGAGTGGGGAGGTTTATAAACGCGTAACGTTTTTCAGGGAGGAAGTTGGTTTTAATCCTCATAAAGGTTTCTTGTGACTACTTGAGTGATGCCTTTAAACAAGCTGGAGTAACAACTATGATATTCACGTGAGAATTTCCTTTACTGCCAAGTCATCACTCACCTGTCTAACTATGTTCTGTACTAATTTGTCCATAGTAAATGCGATGTAAGCGTGAACACCAAACATCTCGCGACACGTATCCTCAAAGTTTGTAGAATCCATGTTTCCTACAATGAATGAAAATCAATTGCATCGTCAACATTCGATAACATCACGTTTCCAGAAGTGAAACATAATAATCCAAGGTATTTAACTCATTTGTAAACAACAAAGGATAAGGAGCTGGAAAAGCTTGATCTTACCGTCCAGCAGGTTTCTTATCATGTCTAGAAACGCTGGATAATATTCCTCAAGGTCTATCTCGCTGGGTGCCTTGAGTCTCAGAGCAATGGCTGTGGCCTGTTTTCTCTGCTGCTTGTCACAAGCTTCACCTTCAGCTATCATGACAGACTGTTGATACATCTTCAGCAGTCGCTCACAGAGCATCTACAAATGAACAATAAGATTACGTTTAAACCTTTAAGCCACAATAGTGATCAGCATCTAATTTCTCCTAACAATATTACTGCCTGATCAAATGTACAGATCACGAGAATGAATGAAATGATCACCAAAGTTGAAATGTCTTGATGTTTGAACAAATTCTCTCAATTAGTAAAATAAGAAACATACGGAGAACAGTGACGAGAATATACATGTTGATATCGGGGCTTAAAGAGTTAAGATATGTATGGCAGTTCAAAACCTCGCTCAAACGTCCTAGAGTAATACTTTGTGTCACAATAGGACGCTCTCCAACAAGAGAGTATCATGAGGATTTTCAATTGCACTGAGCGTTCCATAAAACAACACACACAAAAACAATAATAAGAATGAAAATTTCAAAAAAAAACTTTATAACTTGATTAAGTTGTGTTTCTTTACCTGATGAAGTCTGAAGAGTAAGTACCAGTTGTTGTTTACATATATTAAATTATAGGCATCATCCTGAAAGAAAAGTTTATGGAATTATTAACATATGGATAGTCTTAATTAAGGCCTAGCCTTAACTCAAAGGCAAACGCGTCTTCCACTCGAGCCGGACCCTGGGGATGGCGAACTACTGTACAACTCAAGTTTTAGATATCATTGATTTTACAGTTTGTCAATGTTACATGACTCTTTGAGGAAGGCAACGAAACTTTTAAAGTTTCCAACAAATATCATCTAACTACTTGTAAACAAAACTCTAAAAAAACCTTTCAAAAAAACCCAAAGTTACTTACTGCTTCTGCCTCTGGTAAACCGTTAGTAAGTTCCGGTTTGCCTGGAACAAAGAGAAAAGAAATAAATGAAACTCAGAAAAACACAAAACAGTAGATGTAAGAATCATAACTGAAGTGACACTCCCTTGTACCGCAGGGTCTACCGACGCGCTACACATGTAAAGGCAAACTGCACGCGTCAATGATGGTCCCTCTGCTTTTCATTTCGTTGCCTCCATTGCAACCGCTTTTTGATCTTGTAACACAGAGTGCTCTTTCCTCTTACAAGCACATAAAGGCAAAGAACGACTAACTTAGTTACACACAGAGAATTGAGCGTGTACTCTTTGAGCTTACAGTTACTTACCAAGGCCGTTAAGTTCCTTTACCGAATCTTCATCATCACTTAGCTCACCCCTACAACAAAACAGTCCTAAGATGAAACATTCTCTTCTGTTAAGTCAGAAAAGGGATTAGCTACACATTCCAAAAGTACTACTTCATTTGAACTTAAGACTTTCTGGTAACTCTTACGAAGGACCCTTTAACAAAATCGGCGCCTGAAAGAAAAATTTTACAACAAGAAAAAAAAGTCTACTTAACTAAGAAGTAAACAAGAAGTTGGCTCAGTTAACACTTCTGCTTTCAAAAGTATCCTTTAAACTGTACTTGTATTTTTGCACCATGAATTACTCCACAGCAATGTAGTGCGTGTCAGCAGCTGGTTTAAATCGACTGCAAGTGATTAGCAAGGGCCTATGAAAGTGAGACGTACACATTCAGGCAATGGAGGGAGAGAGGGAGCTGTCTAACAGGCTCCCCCATATTTCATGTCCGCTTCCTCACACGGTACATGTACGTCCCTCTCTTCTCCCAGGTCACCTGATACTCAAATAGACTTCCTCTCCTTACCTTGGTGCGAAGAACAAATCCGGTAGGAAACAGTGTAAGAGAAACTTTATCCTTGCTTTGTCTTCCTTATGAATACTCGTCTGTCTCTTCATGTGATGAACAATCAGACCGGCCGCGTCATCGAGAATCGACTTGTCCTGGTAGGTGTAAACCAAGTGAGGGCCCCCAGCATCTCCATTACCTTCAGCCGCTTGCTCTTGTCTCTGAAACGCAAAACAAACTTGATTTGAGCACCTCTGAGATGACGTTTATCTACATCATCATATTTTTGGTTCCCTCTGTGGCATAGTAGGCGTACACATGACATGAAGAACCTTACGAGATAGATTCTTGGTATAAACAAACATAAAAACATGAATGTCCGAAAAAAGGAAAGATGGCAAAGAATGTTGAAGATTTACAAAGTCTATGAATGCCCACTTAAAACGATGAACAAAATTTTCAAGCTACAAAAACTAATGACGTATATCCTTCAAGAAATTTTTGTACCAAAACAAGAAAATAAAATGCTACACAGCTACATTCCACGTTGACGTGCATCTGGTCAGTTATAAATTACAGCGGGAAAAAACGAAACAAAAGAAAAAGCAGCCAACAAATTGCAAACGTATCACTTAAACGCTTACCATATGAAATTATTCTTGCATCTCGGTTCATTCTAGCTTCTATGATGTTATGATAAACAACCGCATAATTTACGGAAAATTTGACTGCTGCGGGAAATTTTTCAGTCTACTATTTTTACTCAAAATTTCAAAATAATATTTTACTCATCACTAACTAAATGTTTCGTTTTACTGTACTCTTATTTGTTCCTTTGCTTTTAATCTAATCTGTTTAACATCACTAAGAGAGAGTAGCTTTAATATATATAGAAATATTTATTGTGTATTGTAGTTTACAACGACAAAAGAGCAGTGCAAACAGAATTTTTAACCAACCTACCTCATCATAAATTGTCTCAATCTCATTTATCAAGCTTTTCGATCTCATGGCCTTCAAGTCATTTTGTTTGAAAGTGATCCCTTGATGGTCCAGGGACTGCAAAGGAAAAGTTATTTTACCTACGAGTTAATACTGTGTGAAAATAGTTTATATACTAGTTCCACAAATTCAAGATGCAAGAAAAGATTGAAAGGGCAATAAAAAATAAAGTGAAAGTAACACTATCATTTACCTTTAGGTAATACTTTTCATTCTGATCTCGCCATATCTTATTAAACTGCCTCTGAGATTCTCTCCACTCCTCTTCTTTGGCTTTTAACCTAAATCAGAAAAATTTATTTCAAAACATTACATTTGTTGAACAACAAAATTCTACACTTTGTGACATAAGCACATTCAGAATTATAATTAGAGTTAGAAATGAAACAAATTGGGGGTAATTGTGGCAGCCAGCTGATGATTCAACTCTTTGCCAGAGAAAAAAAACATTTTGTGCTGCAAAGGTTTTAGAGTATGTCTAATTCTTTTCCACAATAACGTTAACTGAGGGTAGTAGGTTTTCAATCAGGTTATTTTAGGAGTGATAAGATGTTTCACTGATTGTATATATATGCTCAGACAAGCGTATGCATAGAAGGTAAATGTAGCATAACTGGTCTTGAAATGGGAAAATAAATTTCCTCACCTCTTAAGTACCAGTGGCACAGCCACTGCAGGTGTTTTCTTTAAACCATCAATAATATCAGGAGCTTTGTCACCATATATCCTTGTTAAAAGATCAACAATTATATGTATATATTACTAATTAAAGGAAAAGGATAGTTTCACTAAATGTCAAATAAAAATTTTTTCTCAATACTCCTACTGTTTCTTAATGTAATGCTGATTGTGCTGCAATACATTTGGATTGAAATCATTCCCATCCTTTGAATAGGATGCACTCACAAACATTAGTATGAATGAAATAACAACCCACTGAGAATTCAAGACCTTGAGTAGGTTTTTTTGTTGTATTTGCCTTCCATATTTAATAGAACTTCATCAAGTTATAATGGTTATGACAAGAAGGATGATTGTACCTCTGGATGGCCTTTTTGTGAATGAACTCAGATGTTCCTCCAATGCAGCTATCAAGTCGAAATTTTGCCTGCTCTTCAGCAGACATTCTAAAACAAAGAATGGCAACCAAACTTTAACAAAACAAAGACAACATCAAGCATTCTGAACAAGCAGTTGCAGACTTACAAGTTAGGTGCAGCATGTAAGCAAAGTCAAGCTACATGTGTGTAACTACATAAATGCACATAAAATGTACTGAACAAAGCATGTAGCATCATCTAATTGAAAAGGACTTTGCTTAACTACCCCTGTACATCCTACATTTAGCAAGATAAAGAATTCTCTACATGCACAAGTCAGTACTACATACCTCTGTAGTTTTTTCTGTATGGCTTCTAAAACACGAATGGTGGAAAGATTGGATTCTAACACAACATCCAGCTGAAAGAGATTTCCCACATTAAAATTACATTGAAAATGGTTTGCTTGACTACAATACTAAAAATGCAAAAATATATGCATGTATTTAAGGAACAAAACAAAAGCAACTGGGAATAAATAAAAAGTTTGCAAACCAACCTCAAATCGTTCATCCTCACACCTACACATAATAAGAAGAAAAATGGAGATTAAAACATATCCAGAACATTAAAGTCAAGAAGTGGCTCACATTGTGAATAATTTACAACTTAAGAACTACAGACTGTAACCAGGTTTAAAAAGATAAGTTCTGACTTTTGATCATTAATATTACCTAAAAATGTACTCTTCATATTGGGTTTTTCTTGTTCCTGGAAAGGGAGTGTCTTCTGACCATGAAGGAAAAGACACCCAGGTGTCATTAAGGACTTCTCTACACAGAGCAGTACGTCCACTACATTTTGGCTGTGTATAGCTCTTAGGAAGTGCTCTATAACTTGTGCCGTATCTCTTGCAAGAGGAATAATCTATCTCAAGATGATGCAGTTCTCCTGAAGTTCGTTCTTTGACATTAGCCACAGTCTCCATGGGAGAAGAGTCTTTGTAGCCTAGGAATTCCTTGAACCATTGAAACAGCTCTGGGTATTTTCTGCAAGGGAATTAGATTACCAATTAAAACACCACACAGTAATAAATGGAAATGGGTAATTTAAATATTTCCTAGCAAAATACTACTAAAACAGTATGATGTGTTTCTCTGAATATGATCAGCTACAGCTGTTGATCAATGATGTACAAACACAGGAGACTGCTGACAGACAGCTGAAAGTATATATCTAATTAAAGGAACAGTTAGTTTATTGGGACTTACCCTAGGAAGTTGGATGCCAGTTGAACCAGTTCGGATCGAGAGATAACTTCTTGATTGAACAATACAAGACAACGCAAGAAGTTGTCATAGAGCTCAGGATTTTTGAGTGCTTTCCTCACCTAGACATCAATAAAGATAAATTATATTTTCCAAGGTTATGTTAGAAGAACATAAAGATACAAGTAAAGAGTCTCACTTACCAGAGCAGCAAAATAATACTGTAGAAAGAAAGTAAATATTTAATTTCATTACCTTTTCAAAAAATGCAAATTCTGAGAAGGTGCCATGTTTCTGTGCCTCATCCAGGGGTACATCTTTGATTGCACTTCTCGATTTCTTCTGCTAGAAGAACAAAATCAGTGCAAAAATGAATAAATGATACATGCACCAATCCCCATTTTTTTTTTTTGGATGTTGATTTCCCTGAATAGTTTGACATTAACCGAAAAAATTGCCAGTACCATTCTGAAGTTGGCAATGGTTTTAAAATGTAAATACTGTTGGCTATCACATTTTAAAGCAGCCAGTCATCACAAACAAACAAACAAAATCATGTGGCTTGACGTATCATGAAGGACATGATGCAACTACTCCTACCTTTGCCTGAGGGTGGGTTGGGGAAGAGGAGACATTGTTTGAATTTCTTCTGATCTGGTGTATCATACGTTTTGAAGAATTTGACCCACCTGAAAAAGACCAAGGAACATTATCTTGACCAACTGTAGTGTGTCTTGGGCCACTACCCCATATCATACAGCTTCATGAAATGAACATTTTCTGACATACATGTAAGAATATATATCTATTGCAGCAGTACTCCTTTTAAGCAAGGGGACACACTAAATTTTTAACACTGGATAGTAACTTACCCGCTGGCTTCTTTGTGGGAGGTACATACTCATTCCTTGCAGCTGTCAGGTGAGCTGGCAACCTGTTTGCTGCTAATAAACCCTGAAAAACAAACAGTGAAACAACATCCACATCTGTTAATTTGCACTCAACACTGAATAAGTGACTAAGCAGGGTGCCATGTCCACATATTGTAGAACCTCCCTTGCATTGGTCCCACCTAGAAATAAGTTCCTATACCATATTTAATCAATTAAATGCTGCCCTTGAATTAATGCCACATTTTAGAGCAGAAATAAATTATTAATAAATGCCATCCTCAAATAAATGCTGCACCATGATGTGGGGAATATTCCAATAGTAGACTCAGAAAGCACACAGTGATCAATGCTTCAAACACAGTTGGGAATTTTTAATAAGCCAGACACAAATCCTTTTGAATGTACCAGTTCCAAAGTTGAGAATGCACATCTGACATTAGATCTTTATTCATTTTATGTATTGCAGTAGTATTAACATGCAAATTGTGAAATTGAGAACAATATAAAAAATGACTTTTTAGACAAGCCCTAAAACACGTTTCTTTTGCTTTCAATTCAGATAGTCCATTGCCATACTATTGTTTGCCAGAAATAGATTGGATTTTAAATAAATGCCACCCTTGTATAAGTGCCACTCTCTAATTAACACTGCACTCCAATCAAGAAAAATTTAATAAATGCTGCTGCGTTTAATTGAATAAATTCAGCAGCCTTAAGCATGGCTTCATGTCATTGCACTGCATGACAGGAATTCAAAAGAAGATAAGTGGTTCGTGCAGCAAACAGTTCTCTAACCTTTGATACAAGGCTATGAATGACAGTCTGAAAGATGTATGAGTGAATATTTTTGGTGAATGGCTCAATACACAAATAATTATCACCAAAATAGCTATTTACAAGAAGAGAGAAATTGTAACAAGCCATGTGACTAACCCCAGACATTGCTGCACCATTAGCATCCGGAAGAAACTGGCTGAATTCTTGAAGCAAATCTTCTTGATTTTGAAAAAGCTTTGCAACTTGATGATACACCTATGGATGTGAAAATAACATTTTGGCAAGGAACAAATGATGCAAGCACCTAAAAGGAAACTCTGGTGAAGCTTAAACCTCACTCTTCCATAACACCTAACAATAAACACAATTTCAATCCAGAAACACATAGAAGTTTTAAAAGAATACAAATATAAGTGCACTGTACCTCACTAGCAAGTTTCGCTTCTCTTGTATAGATCTAAACGAGAATAAAAAGACTTTAAATACACACAAAAAAAAATTGTATCACAAATTCTCCCACTTGAAATGAAATGAAAAGAACTTCTCCTGTCCAGGAAGCTAAAGACACATGGACTTACTTCTTGTTCAGACAGAGGAGTTCCTTGCATGGCAGCCTGCAAATTTAATTCAGGGAACAAAATTCAATTAGGAAAGAAATGAGCAAAAAACATACCCACCCTACTTTCAAAAAGAAAAATTACCAAAGGAAATGATCAAATGTCACTCTCATTTCGTGTTCAATGGAGAGCATCAAATGTTCAAGTCTAGGCCAGGTCGTTCGAAGCAGGGTAACATAACCCTGGGTTAACATGAAATTTGATTTCAGATCTGAAGGCTTTCAAACAAAAAATTCAATTTATCTTACTGCTACCTTACCTCTTTGATGTTTTTCTGCTCCTTTTGATATGTGTGGAGAATTTCCAAAAAAGCCTTGTAGATGTCTGGCTGTCCTTGAAACCGGTTCTATTGCAAAAGAAACAAAATATTTCTTGTTAATAAACTGAAACAATTGCTTGCACCATCTTCCAAAAAAACAGTGAGAGCTCTTCACCTTTATTTTGTTCACATAATTTATTGCATGGTTAAATTCCACTGGTTGCTGACCCTGTGTTACAAAAAGATAAAAGAAATCCAATTAAAAATTTATGGTACCTAATCAGGAAATGCATTGGAAACCCAAACTCTACATTTTTTTCAAAGTACTGTAACACCACTGATGCAGGAATTGGAAATGCTGTGCACCATGTGCATATGGCACATAAGTAAACGAAATGGCATCACAGGCCCATATGCCTATTTTTCCTTCCTAATCTCTGTTGATGTAAAAAAATTTTATGAACATCTTCTAAAGCCGACCAAGTTATCCCAAAGAAAAACACTGAAGGTAAAATCTATTAACAATAATGTTAGATAAATCACTTCTCCAACTTAATAAAATCAGCCAAAGAACAAACTTAATTTACAGCAAATCAAAACATAAGACCATGCATCACCAAAAAAAAAAAACAAAAAAACAAACAGGATTTGGAGTCTTCTTATATACAGACACAAAAGCTACTGTTTTCAGGTAGATCAATGTTAAGCATAAACCTGTAGCAACATCTTATACAAAACCATGATCTTATATAAAAAAAAAAAAAGATACATAAACAAGAGGGCTTTTGAAAGTTTTTACATGTTAACTAGGGTAGATTTAACGAGTAAATGTTACAACTGGAACTTTTCACTTTCAGGAATGAGCACATGTGGCTTGTGTAAAGAAGGTGGCTGTACATTAAAGTACTGAGCTATTTAAACGTGTCTTTGACAATAGCATTATACCTGTCCTTGTTGAGCAGTTGGTGACTGAAGTGGTTGCTGATGTTGCTGCTGCTGCTGCTGCTGCCCCTGTTGCTGCTGTTTCTGCTGTGACTGCTGCTGTTGTTGTCCTTGTTGCCCACCTGACTGATGTACCTGTAATAAAACATACAACAATATTCAAAAGGACAACTGTAGCTACTGCACTTATCTGTCCTGTGACCCATTACAACATGGACAGTAAAAAGGTTAAGGGTATCCAGACCTTCACGTTTTTCAAAAGCTTGCCAACGAATGTTGATAGATCAAAAATGTTGAAGAATACCAGCTGGAAAGTTAGTTTTTACTTTCTAACCCATTTGGAGGAAAAACGTGTTATTGGCCAAGTCTAAGGTCAAAGTATGTACAGTATGATGACCCAGCAAAATGTGCCTTACATGGGTAGCCAATCAGGGCTGAGGATTTTCTTCACCTAGCACCCCTTGAGAGCAAGCCTTGTCACAACAATGCATTTAACCCAAAGTTAACAATTGCAAGGCTAAGTGGAGGTTGGGTGCCTGAGACATCTTGAGCTTCCACTATTGACAGCCAGCTCCAAGCTGGAGACTTTTCCCATGGCTAGAAAATCCTGGCAACCCAGCCATGAGCCCCCCACAGGAAAGGGAAACAGGCACCCATTACACTAAATAAGCAGTGGGAAGAGGAGGGAAGTGGTGGGGAAAACTACCTGGACGATGTGCTGCCACTCCAAACAACACTGCAAGTTCACACTCAAAGCACACACAAGAATGCCTCAAGTGAATAGCACATGGAATTGACCCATCTGCAGAAACCACTGACTATTAAAGAACACTGATGCTATTTGTTGCTACATCTGTGACCCCTTCTATTAATTTGAAATGAAATGCAAACCCAGAAACACGCACCACTCATTTAGAAATAAAACAAAAACCAAGTAGTTCCACTCACTGGTTGCTGAGCTGGTTGGATAAGTGTGGTTATCTGAGACTGTCCATTGGGTGCTGTTACTGACACAGTGCCAGGATCACTGGCATGCACCTCAATCTTGTACCCAGGTGGAAGGAATGTATTGAACCCTACAATTAATTCTGGATGTCCCTTAAACAGAGATGACACACGGCTGATAACACCTGGAGTATCAATGCTGGGGAGAAAAAAGAGATAACATCACTGACTGAATCACTATCTATGAAAAGTTTTCAATGGATATTGCTTGAACAGCAAACATGTAGATACCTTTGGGATTTAAACTCTTTCATAATGTCCAGGAAGTCATTATACACTTGAGGCTGGTTTCCAAACTGAAGTTTGACTTGATCTAAGTATGACAAGGCATCCTCAACCTTAAAATAGATAATAAATCAAAACAAAACTTCAACACCTGAGTTGTTCAGTATCTCACACAGTGTGGTGTTTTATTTGACAAGTTAACTTTATAGTTGCAGTTAGGAGGCACAGTAACCTAAATGTTAGTGTGATTAAATATGGAGGGAAACCTGAAAAAATTCTGAAGAAGCAATGGGGGTGCTACAGCTATAAGTGAATATCCACAAAGGATTTAAATCCTTTATTTGAATTTACCATTTTAGAAAACTATTAATGGGACAGTCACTTTTTCTCAGCATGGAATAATAATTCTTTGTGCCCAAGACTAAAACTGCTGATGGTTAAATTAGAAAAAGCCTTGTGCACACACCACAAACAAGGCAGAAGCAAGGGAAAATGTTACCAGTAAATTAAATAACAACAATTATACATATCACCAGTAACACTAAGTGGAAAATGAGGCAGACCTTCATAGCATATCAAGTAAAATTTGCTTCACAAGCTGAGTGATGTTCCTTTTCTAAACCACTTATATTCAAAATAAGCATTTTTATTCAGATAATGTTAAAAAACAACAGTTTTTTTATACCACACCTTTAATCGTTGAAACTGTTGTTGTTGACCCTGAGCTTGTGCATGCACCTGTACTTGGCCCTGAAAAACGATAACACACCATTAATGAGTTTTTTATACCTACCTCAATGTCCATTGATGTCATGCATGCTTTTAACAGTAAGAAATGCTTTCAATTTTTTCCCCCCCATTCCAGAGTTGAATTTGGTCCTGCAAAATTTGAATCAATTTACTTTGGCTAGCATGATAAAAAAGTCATCTAGTAAGACAACTACTAAGGAAAAAATGGGACACAAGCTATAATGTTTGTATTTCCCTTCAAGGGCCATTTTTGTTGATATGATACCATGTGATTTCCACCACTTTAATCAAACACAGTTTCTCTTTGATGGTATTCCTAGAGGATGATGTGGATAACAGCTAGCAGTAATGAAATGTCACATGATCCACAATGGTAGCACACACAAAAATTCCAGTTCAAAAGAGCTAACATGTTCATTTGTTCTCACACTAAATGCTTTAAACCAATTTGTTCAAAACAATTTAACTCCCATTCTTTTCAATCATAATGGGATTTCTCTATAGCAAAACAAACACATTTTTTTTTCATTTCAGATGAAACAAAGTGTCAACAATACATAAACTCTATAATAACAATCTCAACCAAAACAGACCTACACAAAATGAAATCTAAAGTATATCAAGACCAACAGTAACAACCACAGTACATAACAGAAGTAGCCGTATACTAAAATTGCAATATACAAAGAAGTACAGCTGTACATCTAACTCACCTGGTGATGACCAGATGTTGGATTTTGAACATGAGGATGTGACTGAGGAGTCTGTGCCTGAACTCTGAAAAATCAAAGCAGTTTTCACAAATTTCCTTTACCCTTCAAAAGGGAGGTTTACCTTCTACCAAGCCTTTCAAATCATATTGTTGACAGGTGATACCGCGAGCTCGTGTGAGGTAATTGCCCATTTAACATAGCCACACACCATTACAAATTGTACGTTTACATCATTATGCTGATCCTCACAATCTTGTTAAGATAATGAAAGGTTTAGATTGAGAAAGAACACATGTACAACTGGTCTTTCGAAGAAGCCAACACAGTCACTACACTTCCAAGTAGGTTGTGCATCAGGAAACAGAGATTGGAGGTTCCTTCAGCAAGATTTTAATAGCCTGAGTTTCTTTTTTGTTAGATGTGGAGAATATTCTCCAGTTACTTCACTTCTTCTTGTCTGCTACTTTATTTTGTAAAGAAAACCCTGCAATCCATGAAACTGCTATATTTGCCCACATGAAATTTCAAAGATCTCAAGTCACTCTCTGAAAAAACTTACTGATATCCAGGGGCACCTGCCATCTGTGCAGCAGCAGGGAACTGGGCTAATCCACTTAATCCATCCTGCTGGAGCTGCTCAGAATAGGTTGCCATGCCAACTGGGGCTGGGGCAAGAACAGGAGGGGGACGGAAACTCTGCCTGTTTTGACCATACACACTGTCGTGGTCTTCAGGACGCACCCTCTTCATGTCTTGCACCACAGCCTCATTCAAGCAGTCTTCTAAGGGTCAAGCCTGATACCTAAAACAACACAGAGATGGTACTGTGTTCAGTTTAGCTGTTTTAACTTCTGGTGCCACAAAGTAATAGAACAACCTTGTTTCCTTATAGACGCTTCCCCCATTCCAAGTTCTTATTTTTTTTCCTTCCTTCTTATTTCAACATAGGAATAAACTGACACCATTCTTTTCAATTGGTCTTGGGAAATAAAATCCAAAAAACAAAAATGGCAACATTTAAGAGCTTGCAGTTTCAATGGCATTTGTCACCTGAGGTCCATGACCTTCCAACTAAGAAATAACATACCACAAAATTAAACAGAAAACTCAGTTTTTTTCTGTTGCACTGGCACTGGATAATCACATTCCAAGATAGCCTTGTGAAAGTCAATTCCAAAACCTAAAATTACAACTTGTAATGCGAGTGCACACACAAGCATATTTTCAAAGATAGCAGTTAAGACTGCATGTGGCTCCTGATATGGCACAATTTTTATAGCATTGAAAAGAACCAAAGGTTGTATGATGATGCTATATGGTAGCTTTACTGAAGATTTGTCTTTCATGCAAAACAGAAAACCTGCTGCATCCCAAATACTCATGAGAGCCCTGTTCCACAAGAGAAAGATGACTCCAGAATATAGTGAGTAACTGACACCCAAACAATTATTAAATGGTAATAAATAATTATACTAATTATAACAATAACAACAATGATAACAAAAGTAATAGTATTGATAATGATAACTCATGATTTGCCTGTTAGCTAGCTCAAGAACTTCACTGTTCCTCTGTTGGTCTATCCCTAGACTCCAATAATGATTAAACTAGCCTTGTTTTCATTTTGATTTGCCTGTTAATTATAAATCCTTTCTAATTTCATTTCTGCAAGAAAAAAGTCTTTTTTTCAATTACATGCCAGAGACACCACTGCGAAATTATTCTGAGATGTCTGTCATCCATTGCAGTGTCACAGAACTGAAAAAATTATATCTTTGGATTAACTTGGAATAATTTCCTGATTTTAACGGTAGAATGCTCTCTCTTTTAAAGATAATTTTTTCCTCTAATTTTAATGTTGTGCCGATCACTCCTTTCAAGACATTTCTTCAAGATAAAGCTTTCTTTTTTCATGCTCCATTCTGAAATGCTTGTGAGATGTTTATTGTCTTCTTTAGTAAACTAAGAGACAAATAATGAGTAGCACTGAAAAATAGTGCAATCACCTGCTGATATTCAGTGTAAAATTCGAAGCAATTCACAGAAATTGTCACAAAGCATGGAACAACCAAAGATGTTTGAAACAAACAAAAGCCAAGACTAAGGAATATCAGGTAAAACTCGGAAGACTTTGTTGTGGACCAAGAGGTTATTTGTTTTCTATTGCTACTCTCACTCACTCAACAGGACAACATCATGGCTTTGCCTACTTAGGAGGCAGTAGCCATAAAAATTCTTACAGCACCTCCTGTCTCATACAAAAATCAGAAGTATCAACTTATTCTAAAAAACTCAGATGAGGAGACTGAAAAATAAGGAAAAAAAAAGAGAAAGTTAAGTTGCTGCAGTAATTGCCTCTGTTGAATGTGGAAGTAACTTACACGTTCCATACAACCTAGCATGTCTTGAATATTTTTATACATGTAGATAGAAGTTCAAGAAAGAATAAAACTACTAAATCTTCACTTGGTAAGAATAAATTACATCACCTAACCAACATAATGAAACCACACGAAAATTTTCAACAGAACTGTATTTACTTAAAACTCCACAAGGACTGGAAAAAAAATCTTGAAACGGTCTACAGGAGACTCATCAATCCTCGTGAAACCCATATGTTGATTTCTACTGACCAAAAGCGCCGTGTCACACAATTACAAAACCCAACATCTTTGGTGTATCGCTGACAACGATCTTTCTCTAAAAACAAGTGTCTCAACCAGAGTGAGAACCACAGTGTCTACGGCAAAACCAATGTTATGACACCGCTCAAGGCGAAGTGTAAACTTTATTTACAACAGATCATGACGACATATCGATTCGACAAAAACAATTCATTGGTTCAAAGAACTGAATGGCTAAATCAAAACAAGTATGTTCGTTTCAGCGATTTCACTTCTCGAGCCATGTAGAATACGTGGGCAAAATCTTTCTTTCGAGTTTCATAACGAAGAAGAACGAACAACTGATACGAAGACTACCAATTCCTTTCATCGAATGTTCAGTGTAAATACACTAGTAATTAGGCAAAACGATGGTGTAAGGAAGATTTTCACAACGAAAAGGCAAGTTAGAACAGATTTTTGCAATGAATCAAAGAAAATAACAAGCATTCTTACGATGTGAACAATATTTATAGGCACAAGATAGTAAATTCTAGAAAATAACAGAAAGAATTGGTTGACACCAGCAAAAACTTGCCCCGTCGTACACCCACACAGGATTTCAACTTCCGACTGGGGAAACTCGAAATTTTAGCACAGAAGGCAACACAAAACTATCAGAAAAACAAGAGATAGAAGAGCATACTTCCTCAGCAAATGTGGCATAGCAACACAAGCTTTTAGTGATCGTTCAAGTAACGTACTATGCTGATTACGTCGGCGCGAAACTACAAATCCACAATATGCATACACGACAGGAAATGGAATTCAAAGCTTCAACAAGATCATGGTCCTTGCAATTGTTTTTGCATTTAAAGGTGTTTTAAAGGCAACAAAATTGCAAAACCAAGGCTATAAGAAAATCCCGAATGAGCTGGAGAGGACATTGTATTACTGCTGTTTAGATACAACGCAAAATGAACCGAAATTCTTTACCATCCATGTAATAAATATATAGCACACTCCCACACGTCCAACTCGTAAACACTGATGTTTGTGCCCTCTTGGTTAAAGTTTTTTTCACTTATTAGGTCTTAAATTGGAAGCATATGTTCTTCTTTTGTCGAACATTAAATGGAAAGTGACAAAAATCAGCTTCTGGGCTGTTGCCATCCACAAACTGTCATACACAGACACAATAACAGAGTATCGTACGGTAAACGACATCGTCCGAGGGCTGCAAATGGATTCATGATCAAAATATAACCACAAAACTTACAGTGAGTAGTATCCCTGGCCCTGACGAAGGTATCGTTCTTTCTTGATCCAAGGATGGTGGATATTTTTAAAGATTCTGCAGAAGGATACTGGGTAGAGAGCGTTCCCTTGATTTTGCTTAAGCTCGTAAGCGAACAGTCCGCGAGCGGTTGACGTCACACACTCTAGAAGAGAAGCCAATCAGATGATCTTATTTTGGATTCAAAATATTCCCGCCGATGTGACATGTGACTTTGAAAGGCCCACCCCCTTTTACCCTTTTTGGCACTTCCGGTTGTTCGCTTCCTGTTTATTTCTGCCTTAACTTCCGCTTCCTCTATTCCTTTGCAAGATACCGTTTTCACATAAACTGTCATGACAGTTTTGTATCCTTTTAGACCCCATACGCATTTGGGAGTACATTTTTCTTCTTAAAGACTTCATTGGCCATGCCATATGAATAACTTCACCATCAGGTAAAGCTAAAAAGTGCGCTATCTTAGACATCATTACGTGGATTGAGGGCTGTTAGAGAAAACCCAGAGTCTACTGCTGTGTTCTCACTGGTCTACTGTGTGAGTATTCAAGAAACAATTCTTCCTCTCCCTCTCCCCTCCCCAAAAAGGAAGTATCAGTGGCCACATTCAAAGAAACGGCTGCAAAGGAGACATGAGTATAGATGGAGTCATCATCACAGGTGCCTTTTTCAGACTACTTTTCCTGAAATTCTGGATCTAACCCTGTCTATCAGGAAGTCTACTTTATCTGACTTTACTGAAGCTGTAACCTGAAATAATACTTTCAACTGTATGTGGGGTTTGAGTTGAAAAAATGATCCAACCCCAACCCCCCAAAAAAATAAAACAAAACAAAACAAACTAGGAAAAGAAAATTGTGCAAAGCCCAAATTTTAGAGCCATATTTGTGACAATTTCATTAAGCCCACATATTCAATATAAAATTCTCATTCAGACTTTATTCATCTGTTTCTTTTTCATGTACAACTTCATGATAACATGATACAGTTAATTCAGACAAAGTGATGAGTTAGAAAATCCAGCTTAATAAAACAAAAGTTGTATTCTATGATAATTTCTGCCGTTCCAGTGTGCAGCTCAGTTACATTTAGACACCAAGCATGCATTGTTGTTGGATTTTTTAAGAACACATAAGAAACAAGAAAAACACCACCTGCAGTTTTCCTCATCTTTCTTCTCTTGTCCTAAAACTCACTAAAATTACAACACAATGCAAAGCATGCATTTCTCTTCTCAAGTGCTCTGCTCAGGGGGATAAAAGTCAGGGTCAAGCCATGGAAGTTTTAATGGAACAACACAGTTTTGATTCTTTCTGACCTTAATGGTTTGCATCAATTTAACTGATAACCTCATTCACTAAAGTAAAAATTAACTTTCTTTAATCACTGTAAACAATGAAGTCTTTACAAAACTACAGATTGGACCTGGATATTGAGCACAACTTTCATACCCAACATTCTACGAACTCACATATTAATGAGCAATGCTAAATAATGTACTCAGAAATTCAAAAATGTGATTCCATGAAAAAATAATTAAACTCCAAACTATCCACACAGATGTAACTGGAAATATTTCCCACAACAAGGTCAAAATTAAAGATAATAAATACCAGATTCTGGACATTAGCCACACAGCACATTATTTTATACAAACATCTAAATAAGATCATGTATTTAATCATCTTGCAAAGTTTAGCTTGGCCTTGCACTTCTACTTAGAAAAGATCATACAAAGAAATTACAGCAATAAGTCCCTTTGAGGTAGATAATCATCTCTGACTATGAACCATAATTTCAGATTACCAGACTGAGTGTCATTTTTGCAATGAAAAGAGTTGCACATTCAACAAATGCAAGTTCTATCAGCATACACATCAGTGCGAGGAATATTATTTTACTAATAATTTTTCTTTCAATTTCCACCAACTCTCTTGGTTAGTGTTACTTGTAAACCATTTATAGGTCTAACCTAAAAGTAGTCCCTACACAATCTCTTTAGGGGTCTTGTTTAAAACCTTCAGTGGGTACAAAATTACTTTGTCCTCTTAACTTTACCAAAACATAGCAATAATTTTATATTTATGCTGACATCCATACAAATGTCTGCTTTACTTTCTAGTTAGTAAATAAACATTAAAATAACATAGTGGGATCAAAATAAATTATCATAATTTATCCATTTTCACTCCTCCTTTTCTTCTCTCAATTTCTTTTCTGCATAAATGTTCTCAGTGAAAGGTCTGAAAAAAAAATCATTTTATGTCTCATCAATGAAAACTAGGCCTTGAAGTCAATCACAATGTATATCTGTGTGTGTGTGTGAGAGGGGAGGGGGAGGGGGGACGGGGAAAGAAAAAGGGGGTTGGTCTGGAAACCAAGTTGAAGCTCTGCGCTTCCACCCATGTCAAGTTTACCAATGGACCAAACTATGACTCACTCCCAGACCATACAGTTAAATTACAAGTTAAATGCAAATAGGTAATCTGGATGTTGAGTTACACCACCAATTCACTGTTAGATTTGTGTCTACTGACAAACGGACATACCCCTCAAATAATAAAGCTATCTTGTAACAAATGGCAACTAGCGTAGTTAAGAGTACACCTGCTGGGCTGCACTGTCTATCAAAAAAAAAGAAGAAAACATTTAATAATCTTTCACATGTTAAAACAAATAAAAAAAAAAGATGTATCAGAGAAAGCCTAATGTTACACACATCTACAAAATCAGAACTGCTTTCTTTAATTAAAAAAAAGTTGAAATTGCTGAATTCATTTGGAATAGGAAAAAGTGACCAGTGAATGGTGTAATCACCATGCAAAACTTTGGCCAACTTATCAGAGGGTGATATCAAGAAGTAAGAGCAAAATCTCTCCACTACTCCTTAAGGATCTGAATAGGAGTTAGAGGCTTGATTAAGATAAGGTGCTAAGAGTTACAGGATTAATAACATAGTCATGAAGAGGGAGTCCACCCAATTGAGTAAATCAAGAAATTAATATTGTGATTGGTTTTCCAGGATATCAGTATTTATGTCTATACAATTTTTACCTTAATGAATATCCCAAGAAGTTCAAAGTTGATCCCCAGTACATTGGGTTGTTCATGACATTGAATGGAAAATGTGTGACTTTCTTGTTCAACAAAAGACCAAAATAATCCCCTGCAAAGAAATAAATTTGTGCATTTAACAAAAATTGCAAAAGATACAAAGTTCTTCTCAATTCCTTTTGGGGTAAATTTTTTCAGAACTAAATTCTTCAGGTTGAATGGATTTAATATGATGCTTTTCTATAGAAGGCACAAAACACTGTTGGTAGGAGAACTTAACCAGTACCTCTGAGGTAAAAGTTAGGCCATGCAAAATCTTAGGCTACTATTTGAGCATTAAGAGTGAGATTTGCTATAATGCAAACTGATATTTAATAAGTACCTCTTACAAATGGGGTTCAAGGTCCTTATTTTAAGATACAGCCCAAACCATACATTTAAATCAGAGCAGAAAAATTGAGGTTCTGTAACTTAAGGTGTGGACTGTGAAACAAGTTTACATTCATAGCAAGATATTTATCATATCTCTGGATTCAAAAAGAGGGAGAAGATTTTGAATTTAGCAGGCCATACACTGGAGTACAGTTCACTATGTACATTGATCAATTATAGTGCACATACTGTACTGACTAAGAGATATAATTAAATCACTAGAACAGATCATAGAAATCTAATAACTGAACCTAGAAATGTTCCTACAATCCCCAGTGACCATGTACTGCTAAGGACAAGAACTGTTCCAACCACGATAAGAAAAGTGCCACAAATACGAACATTCTCAGTGCACATGGCTAATGCAATAGGCTGGCCAGAGATGGCCTCTTCAAATCTGTAAAACACCATTCAAAGTCACGTTAAACAGTTTCCTAGATTTCCATTTTCAATCAAAACTATGATTATTATTTTTCCCATACAGTAAAAATATCTCAAAAACTACAAATTACAAACTCATACAAAACAGCTAAGTAACCATAACAGTACTTTAAAGTTACTCATTTGAACAAGGAAGCTTTGCAGTGTAAAATGGCTAGTAATCCAAGGTCTGTACATTGAAATTAATGACAGCATGATTAGAGAGATGATTACCGGTAATCTCTAAATAATCCCAAAAGACAAATAACAACAGCGAGTGCGTAGCAGCCTCTCTCAGCTGAACCAAACCAATGTGTGATTGCATGCGTTCTGTATTCCCACCGTGCTACCTGCATGTGAATTAAGCACAGAGAAGTTGAAAATTGTCACATCTGAGCAAAAACACTCTTTTCAAATTTAACTTGAAGGTATCAGGATTAAAATGGGTACTCTCTTGTTGGCACAGATAAATGATTACTTTCAAAATTCATCTTAAAAGTACATGTAATCAAAAGTAAGCAATTTCTGATAATAAAATTTCACAAATCTGAGATAAGATTTCATTTTCTTTCAAATTTAGGTGATTTCAAGTTACTGATTTTCATCAGTAAATTTTGCTGATTTTGTTAACTCTGAAAGTATTACACAAATATTGAATAGTTTTCAGTGTCACAAGATATTGAATACTCATAGCTGTCACTAAGTGCTAAAAAGTGAGGAAAAGCAATGAAAGATAAAGAGCATTCTAACATTATGTCAGGGCTGCTACAAGACAAGCCAAGCAATTATTGATACCTATGGGTATCTACAGCACTTGCCCAAAGAGAAGCAAAAACAAACTCACAACATTCCAGAAGAAAGGATTAAACATAATGCAAAAAGCTGCAAACCAAAGATTTGAGTTTCTCCAGAAAATTGGAAAATCAGTGGCTGCTTCAGCAAGTGGCTTAACCATCTGAAAGAAAAAAAAAAGGGCAATTAAAAATTTGCACAGCATAACTGGCTGACTGAGTCCAGAAATAAAGGATACACTATAAAATTGATCTGTCTATTAAGTAGTGAACAGCCTTTAATTCAAATACCATGCTGTTACCTAAACTTGAGTCTATACTTTAACCCTTTACTCCCAAGATCTGATTGTTAATTCTCCCCTGTAACTGCTAGATATTTCCTTGTCAATAAGTTACAAGAATTTGATGTTAGATCAAGATAATGACTTTTGCCTTATT